CATCCCCGCGAATTTGACTGAGGCCAGAAAAACATGTTTTTGAAAATTCGAATTTTTTAAAACGAATGCTAAGGTGCCTTTTTTCAAACCTACTAGAAGGTATGATTTGAAAAATGCCGTAACCGGCTTTCTAAATTAAAGCACCTTTATGTCTTTTTGTGGCCAATTCGATAGAATTTGGTAGATTTTGCTGACACTGTTATCATTTATGGTTATGTACAGGCCTCTAAAAAGAATTTATGATATGGGAAAATGCTCGACGCAAAGAAATTAACAAACTTTGCATTGTTGATAATGAAGCCGTATTTCTGGCATGCGAGTCCAACAGTGGGGGTGTACACAAGACGCATGCATTCCTTGACATTGCTGCAGATCACACGATAGAACAGTTTTTCATTGATGTCTTGAAGGTTGGCCAGCTGGATATACCTAAACTGCTGAAACATCAAATCATGGAGTGTAAGCTGCTAATAAAACAACGTACTTGGCAAGATCATTAGGTTGTTGACGTAGTCTTGACAAAACGCGATATTCTTGCTGTTCTATTGTCATAAACGCCGGTGGTAATAGACCGTGAAGGCCAAGAAATTGGCGCTCAAATAGGTTGAACCCCATACCCTAAAATAGATAGGCTATTCTAGATCTGAACCATCACTATTCAAGGGTTGTGGAATTTTTGACATAGCATGCACAGGAAAACCTTTATTTTACCAATAATTTCGTTGTTGTCCTCTTTCTAATGACTACAGTTGTGATAGCCAGAGCAATAGGAGGACATGTTTTGTGTAAAAAGATTCGTTTATTCACTAATTATATGCGTATCTTACTTCATTTAAACGAATCCCTTCATTTCATTTTTTTTTGATTTGCAAGTTATTATCTAGTTTCTCTTGTCAGCCTTATGTTTCTGAGTGCGTGTTCATCAACAAGCACTTTTCGACTTCTACTTGAGTGGCACAAATGATGAAACAATCGTGTATGTAACAACAGTACAGCAGCATGCATTCTAAGACGGGCGCTTCAACTTTGACCATAAAAGCAACTGCAAGCGTACGACCAACCTCTGAGCCCCAAACCTCTGACCTGCGCGAAATATTTACGACCATGTACTTCCTTTCAAACGCGCTTTGAGAAGTACAATAGATAAGCCTTCGATGGCATTTTCTTGTTTTGTGAGAAGTTCACGAACGGCTTGCATGGCAACATTGTTGGAGACATACATGTATAGCGCACTAAAATCGAATGATTCTACGAAACAGTTCTCTTTCATGCGCGTTTGGTGCAGACGGTCTAAGCATCTGTGTGCTGGCCATATGGGAAAGAATAAATTGATGTATCTGTGCTATTTCGTTGTTTACAAATTATCCTCTGTCTGTAGGCCCTCCCACGCAACTGCTTATAGGTCTAACCTTGAAAGTGGTAGGATCAGTTGATGCTAATTCGTTGCTGGATTGGATTTTGTGCGTTTTGGTTAGTAGATAGCATACGGAGCAGGCTGGCAGGTCAGTTCGGATGCGCCTCACAATATCAAGAGCAAAATCGCCATTTTCGCTGCTTTTGTCC